ACTAATTATCTTTGTGTGCGTGTGGACTCTGGGGAAGTCTGAAAGATACATGAAATAGTGCACAAGCAGCAAGTGTTCATCAAGCTTTTAAATAAGCCAGATAATTTCCTCAAAATTTCATCTGTGCTCCCAAGTCGAGTACTTGTCAGTATCTGGAATTTGAAGGCTCTTTTACGGGGTTTTGGTTTTACTTTAGTTTCATAATGATTACTATTTCTCATATTCTTTAGTGAAACATTTTTTATGCTTATATTCTTCTTTTTTAAAATTTCAGTAATCCCATTTTCCCCCATCTCTTTCTTACAAAAGTATCTGTTTCTTTTAAAACTATAGGTGTGTGTCCTGTCATTCTACCAGTCTCTTTCCTCAGATAGCACTGAATTTTTATTTTTCAAAGTAATTTTCAAAAAGTTCCTGTTAATTGAGCTGAGGTCTACAGCAATACTTCAGCTTCCCTCTCTCTTAGACTCATTTGAAAATGGAAATCAGATAGCGCCTCACTGGCTTTAATTCACCTATTTAAGGAGAAAAAACAAGGAACCTTCTTTAGGCGGTCCAAATCTCGATGTTCAGAGAATTGTTACAATGGACATGAAAATAGAAGACATAATTTTATGGAGAAGGTCACAAATTACGAAGACATAATCACAACCCTTGCCTTTTCCTTATCTCCCAGCTGCACCCCAAATCAAGGGGCTTTGGACATTTCCAGCTTGAAATGCCTGTTGGAATGAGAGGTTGTGCATCCAGTGATAAGTAGATTTTAAAATGATGTACTTTCTGTAGTTTAATCCACAGAAGCTTCCATTACTCTGTTCCCACCCTCCCTCTAAATGATGTGTAAAAGTCTGAGAGGCTGAAGTCCCTGCAGCTGTAGCTTCTGGGCTGGGAGCCCCTCGGGCTGCCAGTAGAGTAGATTTTCCTCCATGCAGCAGGGAAAATCTCAATGCAGTGTAGTTAGCCAGGCGCAGATCTGTTCTGACTGGTTAACAAGAGGGACTATGATGTGGACTTGGCTGTTTAGATTAAAATGCATCACAGGCTCCGGGAACAAGCACACATCAGTAGTAAAGGCTGCTAAAACCTTTGGGGACAGCCCTATGTTTAGATTACATTAATTCATAAATATTATACTAAATACCACTTAAATTGGACTTAAATGACTTCGAAGATAATGCATTATAATATGGCTATCCAGAGAGCAGTAGTCTTTATGTCTCCCAGTAACTCAGTCTTTGCTGCCTCTTACCCTGCTAGACAAGACCCAAGTTATGAATGGATTGCTGGCTTGTTCATATGTGATTCACTGTGTGTGTGTGTGTATGTGTGCGTGCGTGCATGCGCATACTGGCATGGATATGTGTGTGTGAGTATGTATTTTCAATCACTGCCTCTATTCTCCAGGAAATGAAAAAAAGAAAAGAGAAATAGATACAAAGTGAGAGACAGGAAGAATTAGACTAATGGGTGACCTGTTCCCTTCTCAAAGGGAGAAAAATTCTATGGGAAGGGGCAAAATTAGCCCTCATCTCACTTCTGCTACGCCCGCTGGAGTTTGCCTTATTCTCTTTAATCAATAATACAATGTCTTTCTCTTTGGAGCCTGGAAAAACAATCTTTCTCAAAGTGCTTCTAATGGGAGAGAAAAAGAAGACTCTGAGTTAGCTGGGAGAGTTTGCATTAACCTGTGTTTTCTTCTTTGGGTGTTGTTTCTTCAAATTTTAATTCTGGGCTTAAAAAAGATTCCTTTCTTTCTGCTTAGCACCCAGAACTCCCCTCCACCCCATCATGGCTTTCTGGTCTCCAGAGAGTGAATTTACTTTTTACAGTAATTAACCCCAGTCCACAACTGCTATTTGCTGCCTCCCCAACCCAAGAACCTTTCCCTGATACAGCTGGGTTTGCTCCACAACAACCACCCACTCCCTCCTCCACAGGCTCCCAATTTGACTGGAGTAATTGCCTTTTAAGGTTCACTCTACGCATGGCAGGTATTCCATTAACCCTTAGAACCCCATCCTTCTTTAGTTACCTGAAAAGGCAAGTGGCCAAAAAATGGATACCCACCTGAAATCTCATGCATTTAATTTAATTCTCACTTTTCTGTCCCATTTTTTTGGGGGGGGGGAAACAATAACATGTATCTGCCATCCATGGTGGAGGCCAGCATCATTTCTCTCAATTTTATCCCAATACGATACAGTAGAAGTCAGAAATTCAAGAAGGGAAGAGAAAGAGCCACAAATATTCCCTGGAACCAGACTTAACAAAGGCATGTTCCCATCCCTAGCCTCTTGTTGCCAATTGAGAGTTGAGGAAAATCTAGAAGCCAAATGCAACCCTCATTCTTCAAACCTCATCATGATTTTTGACTTAAGAGTAATTAATCACCCGCGGCAAGTGAGTAATTTTTTTAAAGGTGGCTTGAGGCTTATTTTATCAGGATTAGCTATTAAATGAGACTGTATCACTAAAGGAGAAGTTCAAACTCTTCTAGGACTAAATAAACCAGATCTCGGAAACTGTCTCATTTATTCAGCTCTCTCGGAGCTTCCAGGCACTGTTAGGGACACTGTGACCCAAACTTGCCTATAAAAATCAGAGGGATAGAGAGGCAGGAAGTTTCATAAGGAAAAATACACGCCTAGGCTCTGAAGGATGAGCTGCGACAAGGAGGCACCCAGCATGCCGGAGTCAACGGGCCTGCCTACCAGTGACTGAGCCAAGAGCTAGTTTAGGGGGAGAATTATTTAGATAATGAAGTTTTTGCTTATCTTAGGAATCCTGACCAGATGTGCTTGTGTATGTATCAAAATCTCCTTTGCCTTCCTGATATAAATCGAGTTTTTTTGCTGTAATCTGAGAGTCCAAATAATATCCAAAACAGGGTGATGATACCAGCAAGGGATTGTTAAAAGAAACCAAGGAATTACTGTTAAAGTTGATCTCCATTCGAAATAAATAAGCAAATAGTGCTCCATACCAGATTTCACAGAAGCTCAGTTCTTCACAACTGTCTTTTGCCTCGAGTGGGATCTAATTTTTTTTAAACTTTAAATTCTGAAATTGCCACAGGAACTGCTCATTAGGATGAACAATGGATTTCCCTACTTATGCTTTTAAATTTTCATTATTACTATTTTAAAAACTGGGTACATATTACAGTGACAAAGCCTTAATATAAATCTTGATTAGCTTCTAGGAAGCTTGATTGGAAAGGGAACAACTACAAAGCTATGATTGACTTGAGAGAAAGAGGGGGAGAGGAAACAAATATCATTTCAAATACTGTCTCCCCATTCCACCTTTCCAATCTCTCTTCTGAACAGACAGACATTTTCTCCATATTGGGTAAAGGTTGATTTCTCTCCATCACAGCCCCCCACCCTCACCCTACCCCAACAAACCTAGTATATTTCCATTCTGCTGTGTTTTTGTACTACTCAACATGCCATTAACTTTAAGATTTACTCCACAGCAGGCAAGCTGGAAGACGCTAAAGCCAATAAAAACTGCTCTCTGGGACTCCAACTATGAAGAGTTTGGAGCTCTGCTTAGTATTCGGATGGAGGGAGGGCTGGAGAAGGAGGAACGTTGTGATAGTGAAAACCACTGCTGCTTAGAGAGCCAGACAGCTCTGCGCTCTGCACCTAATGTGCCGGAGGATCAGCTCTGTTCATAGCCCATTTGTGGCTAAGGATGAGACTGGTCTCTGTGTGTGGATGGGTGTGCATGTGTGAGTGTGTGTTTTTATCTTTAAAACCACCAGTTCTAACACTACATCTTCAGTGGCTCTCCACACTACTGTTTATTAAAAACGGAATGTCCACACACATCCCCTACAACTTCCTTAGCCTGGTGCTTCTTCCCTGCCGACGATCAATCTCTCTCAGAAAGCATTTAACTTGCCCACACAGCTCCAGCCCCGATTAATCCCCACTGCACATCCTATACATTACTGTTAGCGAGCGGAGCACTGGGCTAATTTCGTCACCCACCAACCACCCACACACATTCTACAACTGAACACGTTTGGGGCTCTGGCTTAAAGATATTAAAACAAGGGGAAAACAGGCAGGCTGCAGACAATTCCCACGACCACTTTCCTAAAAAGTTGCTGGGTTTTAATTCTTTGATTATTCTCTATCCCCTCCCCCAAGCACTCACTAGCAATGATTGCTTCAAGGAAGAGGAATGATGTACTATAAACCTCTCTGCATGGTGAGTTTGGGATAATTTAGGGTACAGACTTCAAAATGCATATCCTGCACAGATTTCCCCCCAAAACCCAATGTTCTTGAGAAGAGTATCATCCAGCCTTCCTAGATCCCCACTTCACCCAGGGGATTACTGGTTCCTTGCTAATTCCTGCCTTAGGTTTTGTCCCTCCTTTCAAACAGCCATCCCCCCTCCCCCACTATTCACACCACAACCGATTATTGAGACACATAGCTCGATAGGGAGAGTTTACTATTAAATTGATAGCTAAGTAAAATATATTCTCTTTGACTATGTCACCGCTCTCCTTTTTAGACGGCTGAGCTCTGTACTCTGGCCCAGACTGAGGAGGAGACCATCTCCTTTCAGTATTTTCAGCACCACGGCGATGGACAGCACCCTCGGTCCCCGGCCGGTTGAGCGCCCGCCAGTAAGCTCAGCGTCCCGGGTTCGGCCAGTGCAGCTGTCCCCATCCCAATCTTTCAAGTCGCTGTACCAAAAATTCCAAGCCCAGTTTCCCTAAATCCTCCCTCTTTCGCTTCATCTTCTGCTACCGCTGCTCTCCCAGAGGCATCGTTTCTCTCCCAAAACCCAGCCTTGCCCCAGCAAACAGCTCCCCGCGCACCCCAGTCCAGGTCTCCCTCGCCTGCCCGAGCGCCTGCCTCCTCGGCGTCTGCCCGAGGCTCCCTCTCGCGCCGTCTCTCGCTCTTCCGTCGCCGGCGGACCGGCCGGCCCGCCCGCTCCTTCTCCCCGGCAAAGTTAGGAGGGAAATGTACACTCACCTTTGTGCATGCCTGTGAACCTGTCCTTCAGAACCGTAAGCTCGTAGATCTTGCCGAACTCCTCGAAGAGGGGCTTGAGGTCCTTCTCATCCAGGTTGCGGGGGATCTGCCCAATGAACAGCTTGATGGCATCGTGGTCCTTCATGGGAATGGTCGACGGGTTCCCCGGGCTGTGGCTTAATCCGTTCATGTGCCCGGCGCTGCCCGGGCTGCTGCCGAGCCCGTTGGTACTGAGGCTCGCGTTGTCAGCCTGTCCGTTTGCTAACGTGGCCATCTTTATATACATAGAGAAAATCTTCTTTCCTTTTATTCTTTCTCGCTCGCACCCTCTTGCTCCTCTCCCTCGCTCGCTCGCTCGCGCTCACACACGCACACGCATACACACACTCGGGTTCTCTCCCCCTCGGTTTCTCTACACCTCGCTCTCCTCTCGCTCTCTGCTCTCTCTCT